GAAAACCTATAAAGATGTGTTGTTTTTGCTTTAACGGCAACAGCAGAAAAGTTGAAATAGAACCTTTAGCTCTGCTATAAGAACATCAATGACGAGTGTTAAGGGCATCTACCTCTTCAAAGTCATGCAGGTCCCCCTCCATGATATTCAGAAAATACAGCAGGGGAGCGAGACCAACAAGTGTAGGAGATGAGGCCCTGTGGTTAGTGTGTGACAGAGGGAGGGTCAGGGGATACAATGTAGCCTGGGCAGAGACGTAGAGCTGCTAGTCAGAGCTAACCAGCCATGAGAAGCTGTCAGACTCGCTGTGAGGGGACTCTGGTTGAGCTTTGACAGTCACTAGAAACACAATTATGGCCCTTTCAAAAGCTCACTATGCGGGAGCAGCACTGTCCCGAAAGCCATTTTGCCGGCCTTTGGACTTTCAGTAGTGGATATTTGAAGCTTCGTGCAAGTGCCGGGGACTCAAAATCACCTTACACAACAAAACAAGTTAACGACCGTGGCTGCAGACGTACAATGTTAACTGAGAGAAAAACTTAGACACCAAAGAATGTGTCATACTTTCTCTTCCATTCAGCTGTGCACTCTGTCAGAGGTAAAAGCTCGCTGTTCGCTCACTTGCTGGAAAGAGCAGAGTCAGAGGGAGAGCTGTACCTGCGCCGGGAGAGCAAGACCTCGTTGAGAGAGAAAAAAAAAAAGGTAATGTCAGTACAAAGGAGTACATGTTTCTCTGAAGCTTTTTCTGAGAGAGAGAGCGAGAGAAGAAGAAAAAAAAGTTGCTAAATGCAGCGAGAAGGTGGCGGTACAACTGCCATTTGAGTTCTCAGTAAAGATGGAAAAGTGGTGTATAAATACAAATCCATTTACACCGCTGTCCCCATGCTGGGACATTAAGCGGTGTGCAACTGTCTTATTGATCAGCAGCTTAGAGGCACATCGCAGCTCTCTGCACCTGAACTGTCGACTTTACCGTTTCCAAAATGGAATGAAAAAGCAGGTTCAATTCAGGTGGCATCTTTAAAAAAAAAACCAATCACATTGGAGTTGCTGGTTTTTAAGTGGACAGTGACCATTTGCAGATTAAATGCTCTGCAGCTAAACCCCCACCCACCGAGCAGACTGATTAGGGCTGCGTGGTGCTAAAGAAGCTAACGCGCATCTCTGCAAAGCACTGATGTTTGTGGTTTTATCCTCTCAGTGAGGGTTCGCATGGGGGGCTGGGGGGGTTAAGATATCCTAGCATCAGTCAGCAGGGGATCCGCCATTACTCCCACTGATCACTTAAGTATTTACTCAGCTGAAGCCCACCACTTCACAGACGGTCCAGAGGAGAGTATAAATTAGATGAATACATGCAGAAACGCCACACAAGTGAAAATGTGTGATGATGAAAGACAGATGAAGGATTATTAAATCATACTAAACACAATTAGCAATCATGCAGTTTTTTTTAAAGCCAACCTGTTTGAATGATTGCCTGTTTTCTTAGATTGGAAAATAAGAATCTGAATTCTGGCCTGTTGGTTGGACGAAACCAAACATTTTACTACATTATGTCAGAATTTGGAAAATTGTGACGGGCATTTTTTATTCTTGCATGATCAATCAAAATAGGTCATGTGTAAGCTCAAAGCAGATAATAAACCGAGGTCTCACTATGAACGTGGGACCTTCTGCTTCACATCTTACTCTGCTCTTCTGACCAGTGAGTATAGTGTTTGCATTGGTATATTTTGGCTTGTTGGATTTTCCCTGCCTTACAAGAAACCATAGCAAAGTTTACAAAATCACCTACAGATTTAGAGCAGAGCAAACAAATTAGAGGTCTGAAAGTGCACTTAAAGCAAATTTACCTGACCAGCATTCCTTCCCTGGTGATTTATACCCAACCGCAAAATAAAAGCATTCACACTCAAGCCCACTTTCAAGTCAACCTGAAGACAGCAACAAAAATCAACAAATCTACACCTTAGGAGACGGCTGTGGACTTTGAGGACCTCTAAGCAGGCTTGATAGCTGCCCTGCGATTTGCCTGTCTTAGTATTAAGACCACAGATTAGCAGTCAGTGCCTGCTCCTAGCTGTAATCAGAGCGCTGATCTACAATAATCGCTTTTCCATAGTAAGAAAGCGCACTGGTTTGGGGTGCAGCTCAGATAAGACCTGTTTAGCAGCAAGCGGCTGAGAAACAGATTTCCAATTTATACAAAGAAACAAGTTTTATTTCACGCTTCTGCTGACCTGCTTTGATGCCCCGTTTCACTGCAGGCCCTATTTAAGTATCAAGCGAGGCCAGTGTTTCAGCATCCCTCCAGGGCTGTTTCTGTTTCAATATTTTATGAGCAACAGTCAAATCACCGTGTTGGAATAATTAAACATCAGTTAGGGCACAAAGCTGCAGAGAATATATGGAGGCAGCTCTTCAGTGAGGAGGGAGTAGTGAAGCATAGCAATGGGGCTCCTTAGAGATCAGAGACGACTCACTCAGACACTCACAGGAATATAATTTTGCCATTACTCTGTATAACTGCTGTTGGTAATGTGGACGAGTGCCATGTTAATGTGCCTGTGTGGGTTTGTGTGTGAGCTAAACAATAACGGCAGGCAGACGTCGCAATATTACGCTTGAATGTGGCATCAGTTACCGCGCATAACTTCAGAGAGAGAAATTCATTATCAGCACAGTTTCGATTTCGATCTGATCCAACATAGAGGCAGTTTGCAGTTACAGTACATTTACAAGGCTTCAACATTTTCTGGGGATTTCACTGTATTTTCCAGTTTATTTTATCCCTAATAGTTGTCAGTTGCTTTTTTTTCACAGCTAAAGTTTAACTTTTACACTAAAATCAGTTCACAGCCACATCTTACATGTTTCAAAGATATAGACTTTACATCTTAGCGCTTCGCTTAAAGTTCAACCAGTTTAACCTTTGACCTTGTTAATGTGTGACCTATTAATCAGCAGCTGATGGGATGACAGTCGCTGTTACCTGAAATAACAACAGCTGGGGGTTGAGTTTATCTGTTCGATTGATTATCGGCATTATTACTCAAAACAGTGTGGCCAAATTTGCATTAAAGGCACAGCTTGCCCCCAATTTAGAAGTGATAAACTTTTGGAGTCGCCTCATATATTCACAAATACAAACTTTTTTCTTCATGAAAATTTTGCAAACTAATCTGGATCCAGATATCCTTTCGAATCCAGCAACAAAACTTTGCAGAGGAATGCCGTCTAACTGCTCTTTATTTCTGATCCCTCCTGGGGCCTCCCTGCTACCTGTCACACAAGGGTTGCACCCTCAAGTTTATTATATTTCTATCTGCATCGCAGAGTGAGCTCAGCTGGTACAGTTGACCTCTGGTAGTCAGTGGTTATCTAGTTAAGCACCAACTTGCACAGTATATTTAGCAGCAGCACAATCCGGACTCCTGTTTGTGATGCACACCTGCAGGAGTCCTAGATTTGGGTGTTGATGTTTCGCGTGTACAGACACGCTTCGTCGCTCTTGTGTTGTCACATGCATGTACAGCAGACATGCACGCAGTACAGCAGAGTGAACTGTCACTCCCCAACATGAGCCAACAGCCAGTGCAGATGCTGAGAGGAACAGCAGGCGGAAAGCGTTCAGGAGGTCTCCACACATCAAAGATTTAAAGGTAACACAGCCAGGCAAGAAGCCCACCTGTCTTAGCAACGGGTACACCTGGCACAAAACGAGATGAACGCTGCTGATGATGTTTGGTGCACATCTCTGGAAGCAGCACATTAGGACACTACTGATGTCATCACAGCACTGGGAGGGTCAAACAGATGTTTAATGTGGCCTGATGTGCATTGCAGCCAGCACAGAACGAGTTGTGGTCATGAAATAAAAATAGCAGCCATTTTCAAACGTTTTAGTCACTTATGTTAGAAAAAAAAAAGCCAACATATTTGCCAGTTAAAGCTGCTTACATGAGAATTTCAAGCTCTTTTCTGTCTGAGGTCATTGTGAAGTGAATCTCTTTAGACTGTTGGACTGTTGGATGAATTTAGGGATTTGGGGGTGTGGGCGGGTGCATTATGACATGATAAAGGCAGTATTTAGGGGAGTATAAGCTAATGCTTAAACCCTGGTTGAATATATTTGACCAAATCCTTTAATGGATAAAGTGATTATCAAACAAATCAGCAATGAAAAGTACTGTTAGTGATTTTAATGGCTGATTTTGGCATTTGCTGGTTATTCTGCAGGATTTTGCACTGCTGATGGACAAAAAGGGGCAGTTTGCACATTTAATATAACATTTAGGGTCATTTTTAAGTACATCTTTATTATACTCATACATATAAGGGTTACATATTAGACTAATCATTTCAAATCACATAAAGGGGAGGAATAAGTGAGCATGCTACAGTAACAATAAAGCGGAAACTGTATGAGTGCACATACGAAAATGTCCTATATAAAAGTTAAGACGAAGACTCTGCTCGTCGGCACGTAAAGCTTGAACATCGGTCCGTTCAGCCTGGATTGTGGGAGTCTCAAACTCACAAAGTAAATGCAAAATAAACATCTGCAGCTTCGCCCGCTGCAAACAGTCCCGGTGTCCCAGCAGCAGCCAGCCAGCACTCCCGGACTAAAGGAGGGGGAAGACCCATGTGTGTCACCGCAGCGCTGTTATACCAACATCCATGAGGAGATGTTAAAGCCGCTCAGCCCGTGTTGTTGTGTTTACTGGCGCCAGCAGCGGAAACGACGCTTTTCACCGGTTTAATTACAGCTCAGTAAGGCGTCTGGTGACCCGCTAAAGGCGGTAAAGTGCGCTAGCTCGGAGTGCTCCAACAGTAGCCGGACATGCCTCTCCTCCTGCCTGTCTACTGCCCCCTTTTCCTCCACGGGGGAAAAAAATTCCCTTCTTCCATCTTCTGGTTTAGTCTCAAGCGGTCCACGGCAAACACACCCGAAATTAGAAAGAGAGCTGGCAACATGTGTGGATGTTTGCACTCACCTCAGTCCGGGGTGTTCACACTGAGCAGAGGGTCCACTGTGGTATCCAGGAGGTTTAAAGTTGTCCCGTTAGTAAAGAGACAGCAGCTGGTGTGAGGAGCTCAGAGTGTGTGTGTCTCTGTTTGTGTGTGTGTGAGTCTGCAGAGTCCCTCTCTCTCTCTCTGTGCTTCAACACCAAGTCACTCCTTGAGGGCGGCGCTGAGAAGGAGGCGGAGACTGATGGAGCCACGGTGGATGGCAGTGGTGCACAGAGTGGTGGCCCGCGGAGGCACCCTTTCACATACATTACGGGTTTTCTCCATTGCTTTGGTGCAAATGTCACTGCAGGACCAGTTAAAGGTTTTTTCACATGTGTGCAATTATGCAAGGGCAGTCAATCAGGGGCGTTTTCAGGATTTTCTAAATGGGGTGGCACAGGAGGGGACCATGAAGACAGCGGAAAGGGGGAGGAAGGGCGCATGAAACCAAAATTTGATAAGTGTAGATAACTGCTGTTAAAACCACAAATTCTCAAGATCTTCCACAGCCCAGCGTCCTATAGCAGATTTATTATGTGAAAAGTGGAGCTGTAAAAGAATTTAAACATAACCTTGTGATGAACAGTTTTATAAATAATAGATTTGTTTACTTCTTTAAAGGTTATAATTCTATTTAAATAGCTTAATAGTTCACAGATTGTATATTCAAATATATTTAAAGTACATAAAGTAAATGTATACATGTGAAAGTCAACTTTAGGATCCTATACATCAGCGGTCACCAACCTTTTTTGCGCCTTTGTCGGTCTGACAATATTTTCACGGACTGGCCTTTAAGGTGTCGCGGATAAATATAACAAAATAAGACCAGTACCAAAAAAAGAAGATTTATTCATAAGACACGGGAAAAGACCCAGGGAAACCGAGTTAACGATAAAAACAATTTAAAAAAATAACGCTAAAAACAAATAAAAACCCTGAAAACCACAAATTTCACACCCGAGCCTCAACTCTCACAAACGACTCGGGGGTTGGGGACCGCTGCTATACACGATATTAGTAAGTTATAATTATTGAATTGCTGAGATATATATATGTTTGTAATGTTCATGACCTTAAATATTTGCAGTATTTGTAGACCTTAAATATTTGGATCAAGTTTCTAAGTAACTTGGTCCATAATAATGCAATCCAGAAATAATAAGTAACTAAAGCTTCAAAATAAATAGTATAGAGTACAAAGTGAAGTAATTGTATTCAGAATACAGTGGAGAAAAATCAGATAGCAGTGTAGTACTACTTCAAGTACTTGATTGAATGTACTCAGCTACATTCCTCATCCAATCAGTGCTTTCATCCAATGGTGTTGTTGGGCATTGTAAGATTAACGGTACTCTAGTGCAACGGTCTTGGTGGGGAGGCACGAGGAGGGGACCAATCATATTTCTAAGGGGAAGTGATACCACCCCTTGTCCCTTCCAAATCTGTGATCAGTAAATAAAAACTAAGACCATTATTTCAAGATTTAGACACCAAATGGTTTTATAGTTTTATGAAAAACATTACTGGCTTTGGAAAGAGTACTGCAAAAATGTGGGACTAATGTAGAATAAAAAGGGTTCAGATGCAAAAATGAAATGTGAAGGATTTTTTTAAAACTGCTGAAAGTGAGAAAAGCAGAATGATTATTGTAAAACTATATTAATCAAAAAAGAGACAATATATATATATAGATAGATAGATAGATAGATAGATAGATAGATAGATAGATAGATAGATAGATAGATAGATAGATAGATAGATAGATAGATAGATAGACAACTCTTTTCCAGGCAAATGTAGAGTGCACAGTAGGTGTATTGCACGTTAATGCAAATATCTAACCAGCCGATCAAATTTCAGGAACCCAGTGCATCTAGGCATGTAGACATGGTCAAGATGACCTGCTGAAATTCAAACTTAGCATCAGTATGGGGAAGGTGATTTAAATGACTTTGAGCTTGGCATGATTGTTGATGGCAAATAGGTTAGTATTTCAGAAACTGCTCATCTACTGGGATTTCTGAAAGAAATGTGTTTTATGGACAGCCTTTTTCAGCCTCCACTGAAAAAGGCACTAGGTGAATGGACTCAAAGACAGAGCTCACAGAGGCAGACTGAAGTTTTTATTTACAGGTAGATCAGTATGGTGAAAATGCACAGAGTGGCGTGGGGGATATCCAGGAAGGGGAAGGCTCCAAGGGGACTCAGGGGTGTCCACACAGGAGGGAGTCCAACTTGCAAACCAAGCCAGCAGCCATTCCACACAATCCAGATCAATGTTCCAGTGATGATTGGCCGTCTACCCACGCCTTAAGGAGCCCCTAATTGCTCATCTTCCACATGTGGGGAACCAGCCACAGGTGAGTTGGGTGGAGACTCAAGAGGAGCCCTGCCTATGGACAATCTTGAACACAAAGCACACACACACACACACACACACACACACACACACACACACACACACACAGAAACAGAGAATGCACTGGGGTGCCCGGGTCCTGACATGTTGAATTATGTCATGTTTTAGATTTGTTTGATCGCCCTCTCCTAGTGATGAATTATATTTTCTTTAATTACCTGTTTTTCCTTTTTTCTCCTTTTTGTCTTTTTGTCACGCCAGAATTTCTATACCTTATTTATTGTTTCACTTTGATCTCTTAAATGTTTCATTTATTGTTTGTTTCTGATCTTGTCCTGTGAAGCATCATCATCATTATTATTATTATTATTATTATTATTATTATTATTATCATCATTATACCCAATAAACCCACCACACACTAAGACAGTTGACTACAGTTATTCGACTATTCGACTTTACACATGTGGTTCTATAAAAATGGGACAGTCTTCATACAGGAAGTTGCAAGCGTGACGTCAATGATGTGTTAGTAACAGCTGGAAACTGTAGACTGTTGTGAGTTCCGTTTATGTAAATGCTGACAGGCAACAATTTAATCACAACACAAGTGTGTTCAAAGGTGGATTCTGAAGAACTAAATCTTTCACAAGCCAAGCTGCTGTGATAATTCATGTAAAATATGCTTTTATTTTTTTTTTTTACTTCTTTCTTTAAGGGCCATTCTTAGATTGGAGATGTGTTTAATCACATAAATGGACACAAAATCCAAAAACATATATCTACATACAGATAATCAGTAGTATTCATCTTCATATACTGAATATTTATTTGGTGGGTGGCTGACAGACAGACAGACCAACTGAACTGAATTGAACTATATTGCTTCCTGTTCACAATAGCAGGTGGCACGATGGTCCCCGCAGAGCTCAAAATTGGACACATTTAAAGTGCTAGTAGCTTAAATTATCTCATGATTTGATGTGACGTAAAACAATGTGACACTCTGCAGTCTGACGCAGCCCTCTGGTTGCCTGTTGATTCAAACGTCTCACACATATGCCTAACAGGTTTTTGTTTTTTGTTTTAATTTTTTTAATGAGACCAGGGACGTTTTTTACCACACGATTTCATGCGTTGATTTAGGCCTTTAGAAAAGGCTTCTAATGAGTGTCCCAGATTTCAGCCTGAGCTTTCCCACATTAAGAACTGTGCACCATCTTTTAGCACTATGGCTGCAATTTCTTCTCTGTGTGTCTGCGCATTCAGATATGATTAGAGAAAAACCTCAAAGATTTCAGAATGGTCTTGGGTGCAGATTATGTTATGGGCTATTTACTTTTCTCTATGACATTAAATCACTACATTTAGAGGTACGCATAAAATTATGTTATCTATATTCTTGGATTCACTCATTTGCACTACTTTTGCAGCCTGTGAACCTGAAATAACTACATGAAAGCTACTTTTGGTGGCTTTGCTCCCTTATTCACAGGAGTCACCACAGCGAGTATCATACCATACAACTCTAATTATAAAGCACTTTAAAACAGACACAGGATTACCCTTTTTCTGTACAAAGAAAGGGAATAAATACATTGAAAATGATAAAAATAAATAAATAAAAACAACACTGATAGAAAGAACTACAATATAAAAATAACAAGTAAGATCAGTGCCTGATTCTGGATCAAAAGCCCAAGAGTATAAATGCATTTTAAGATGAGTTTTCAAAATGGACATTGTAGACCGATGTCTAACATTTAAACAAAATTAATCCACAACTTAGGGACAACCATGGAGAATGCTCTGTGGTTTTTGTATATGTAGGAGCAACTGGTCAGACGTCCTGAGAGCTCAGACAGTTCAATTCAGTTGAATGCAATTCTATTTATATAAAACCAAATCACAACAACAGTCGCCTGAAGCAGCTTTACCCAATAAGAGTGTAGGGGTAACGCAGCAGAGGTAAGCCTTTTCAGCGCTGCATTACCCTTCCTACCCTTCCTCATGTAACCCCAGAGAGATTTGTATTTCTTCCTGGGATTAAACTGAGGATGTTTCATTTATTAGGTGAATGTGTAAACCACTACTGGTCTTTATCTTTATTGCAGTCAAAACATTTGACCAGTAAAGCTGTTTCTAATTCTAGCTTTCCCCCCCCCCCTACACATCAGCCTTGTTGCTCTAATAACACTAACGTTTGTTTTCCAGCTACGTTTAATTTAAATTTAAACCTTTTATCCCAATGAGAGAATATTTATTGTAAGCTTTACATTACATTTATTAATTGCCAGTATTCTTACTCATCTTAAGGCTCAGGAGTTGTCAGTAACAGTCTGAAGCTGAATAGGAAATTGACTTTGTCTTCGCCACCTCGTCTCTCTACTCAAAAAGTCGACCTTGGATCAGATGTGATGCATATGAAAAAGGAAACGAGCCACTGTGATTCCTGTATCACTCTTTTTATTTCTGTATCTTCGATTCTTGCACATATCTTTCCTCTCTCCTCTGTCTCATATCTATCTCTGGTTATACACCTCAAACAATCTCTCGCAGACTGAAGTGGGTTTTCAAACTTTTAACGTCTTTCATGGAAATATGTGTATGTAAAAGCAATAATATAACCAAACAGGACGCTACACTGTATGATTTACTTACCAGCACACTTGTAATTAGAAAACACTTAAATGTCACATTTGAAATGCTCAGCATCCATCACTAAATTCATGGCAAACCATTTTTTTATCATTATGCAGCCACA